AAGCTTCATTCTTGGAACTTCCAAAACCCTCAAGTCCCCAAATCAAGGAGTCTAGGTCTTGGCCTGGTGACCAATGATTCCATGCATAATGGCACGTCCTCTGTCCACACCAGACAGTCGTGTTGAAGCCCACAAAAGCTGCATCCACCCATTTGGCCTACGGCAGCTATAAGATTATTTAAAAGAACCCAAATGCAGACTGTTAGAGGTCGATGGGATTCCAGCGGCTATAACCCTGCACAGCTGACCATGCTTTCTGATCCCACCCTCAGTGGGTACCATTTTGCCCATGCCTGGGCCACACCCCAGCCCTAGCACCTCCTTTGGAATCCCCTGATCTTTACTGACTACAGATAGCTCTAACCAGAGCAGAAGCCAAGTCCAACTCTACTAAACTACACCTCTGCCGGGGTTAGTCACGTTCCAGACCTGCGTTAGCCCCATCCCAGCCATGCCGACATCCAAGCTGTTAACAGTAATAGTAACAAGTAGTGTTAGACCTGTTGTTAGTCAGAAAGAAATCCACAAGCCGTTAGTTACCGCTGAAAGGAACAGACCAGGAGGGCAGGAGTTAGTCAAGGTGAAGGAGAAGTTAATTAAAAGCCAGTCAGAGCCAGGCCGGGAGCCTGGCGCCCCCCAGATGGGCAGGGTTGGCTGTTAGTGGGCAGCCCCCGAGAGGCAGCCAGGGCGAGGCAGGGATTAGCTGGGTGAGAGCAAGAGTTAGTGCAAAGGAGCCAGAGATTAGCCCACAGAGACAGACCAAGGTGCCTACTGGAGGTGAGGCATAAAATCACCCCCAGGTGTGGCCCTGGCGTAGCGGCTGGCGGGCTCTGGGGAAGGCAAGCTGGGGCAGGGCCATGGGTGGGAACAGGACAGGGAGCCGGGGATTAATTTCTGGCTGGCCTGAGGGACTGCAGGACCCTGGGGTACCCTGGGGGGCCCTGGGGTTCACATCTTGCTTCCTACTTCCTTCCCCTGTGAACCCCTGAACACAGGATAGGTCTGTTTTCTTCCCAAGCTTCTTGATGTGGACAGCACTTCTCGACGACTTCCAGTGTGAAAAATGGCCCGTATCTACTTCCGGCGTGGGGGACTCCTCTCTACCGGCTTCAGGGAGGGGAAGGGCCCCTCTAGCCAACTACTGTTGCAAGAAGGGCCCTTCTCACTGATCTTTCGGCCTGTCCTTCTCATGCCTAGTGATAAGGTGATAAGTCTTACTGACTTCTGACTTCCGGTTAAGAAATGCCCCTCTGGCCAACTTCCTGTACTAAATGCTCCACTCAGTGATCCCCAGTGTGGCAAAGACCCCTTTCGTTGACTTCCTATGCAGGAACCCCTCTTACTGACTTCTGGTGTGGGCCACGCCCCCTTTCGCTGACTTCCGGGGACTGCACACGGTCCCCTTGACTTCCTGTGTAGGACCATGCCTCTTCTAGTTACTTTCCGATGGAATCAATTACACCCTTGTTTCCCTCCAAAGAAGGACACACAGGCCACAGGCCTCTTCTCTCTGCCCCTTGGCTGGGAAGAGCCCAGTGTTCCATGCTGCAGACCCACAGGCCTCCCCACTCACATCCCAGAGGTTTCCCTGGTCCCGCCCCTTCCCAGTGGCCACCAGACTTCCACACAAAGGAGAGATGTTCACGCTCGGAGGCCGGCCTCCTACATCCGCATGACCGCCGCCTCCTCTGGGCCACTGGTGTGGTAAACATGGCCGTCCCTTGCCTTAGACCGGGTCCAGTGGACTCTGAACTCACAGCCAATTGAGGCAGCAAAGTGGGCCATCGGTGTGCAGGATCAGCCCCAGGAACTCTGCTTGCCAAAAGGAGGGGGTGCCCAGAGCTCGGCAGGGCTGGGGTTAGTAAGAAGAGAAAACGAGGTTAGTAGGGGCTGGGTTAGTAAGTCAGAGCACAGCACCAGCGGACGGGAGCACCTCAGCAGACACACACAGGAGTCACTAGGAGAAAAGGAAGAACACACACAGGTCCATTAGTTGGTTAAGGGATGGGCAGGGGGCAGTTGAGGGACCCCCGGAGTTAGACAGGTTAGTAATCGAACAAAAGAGCTGCCTACAGAAAAGAAAGCTTGGAACGAGGAAGAATGTGGGGAAGAGACAGGGTTCAAAGCGAGTGTCTGGCCCCAGGCAGAAGGTTCTGTGTGCAGAACACCCAGAGGGACCAGGGCCGAGGCAGGGGACGTGATCAATCAGGTTTCCTGGGCTTCCCACCCCCAACCCTCACTCGTTTTTTTTTAAGTATCTGCCACATGTCAAGAACTTTATATTCACAGAAATCCTCACTGCAGCCTGTGAGGTGAAGATCATAGCCCCCCCTCTGCTGCTGAGGAAACCAGGTTCAGAGAGGTTAGGTGACTTTCTCCAAATCGCCCAGCCGGAAGTGGCAGAGTTGGCGAGTCCTGCTCGCGCACCCTGTCCTGGAATGTGGGTCTGCACAGAGATCCCAGGCCATGGGCAGGGCCTTCTGGAGCGTCGTCTGCCCCCACGTCCCAGCCCCTTGGAAGGCCCATGAGCTGCAAGGTTAGTAGGGTCTGGCTGCAGGGGGTTAGTAGGGCATGCTGGGGCCTAGTTAGTGGGTTAGTCAGTTGGCGGAAGGCCAGGCACCTTGTCACACGCCGCAGCGGCCTGGCCGAGCCCTGGGTTAGTAGGTTAATCACACCATGCAACACAGCCCCGGCCCCTCAGCTGCGGCTCCAGAGGCCTCCCGTTCCCACCAGCCAGGGAGTGGGGCCTGACCAGGGCAGGGGGTCCGCCTCCATGTTCCTCAGCCCCCCAGAATGAAGCCTCTCCTGTGGCCCCCACCCCAGAGCGTTTTTGCTTTCCGATTTCCCGGCTGTGGGCTTCAAGGGCCCTCCCCCCGAAAAGAGACCCTGCTGGTCCTGGCCGGAAACCCCTGCCTGTTTCTGGTCAGCCCCTTCCCAGAAGGCTGGATCCTGTCACACTCAGGCACACGGGCACACACACCAGCATCTTCCCACAAAAGGGTTGATGCCCCAGTGGCATCAAGCCCAGAGGTACCGTGTCCAGTGGACACCTTCTCCACCAAGTGCCAGGCTTCCAGCTACTCTGACCACTGGCCTGCCCTCTTCCTCTTCAGCCCACACCAAAACTGCACAGAGCTCACTTGATTCCAACTCCCTTGGCCCCTCCTGGTCTACTGCCTTTCCAGCCACTGCTATAAAGCCCCTGAGTGTGTCAGGCTGTGTCATCTCCTATCCCGGCTGTGGTTTTTCCACAGAAGGCCCACCAGATGGCCCCCTCAGTTCTAAATGATGCCCCATAAGAAAAAGGCTCTATTGCCTTAAAACAGAACACTGAATCCTGCCTGTCCTTGAGTACTCACGATTCCCATTGGCACTTTAAAGGCTCTGATAAGTCCTGCATTTTAGAAACTGGATGAATTTGAATTTTTTTTTTTTTTTTTTTTTTTTTTTTTTTTTTGGTAAGAGCAATGGTATCTCCTAGGACCACCTTTGCGAATCTCTTCCAGGGGCCTGGAAGCTGTCAGCTAAGCCACATCTTTCTCATCCTTCAAAACCTTGCTGGGAAGACTGCCCAGGTGATTACCTTGCTGGGAAGACTGCCCAGGTGATTCTGGGACCTTACTCCTGCCCCCCAACCCCAAGCACTCAGAACCTATGACTGAGTGGACTGTTCTCTGCCCCCTTCTCCAGTCCTCCAGTTCCAATTGCTTGGCCATGCCATCCTGTACGTTTCAATCATGCCTAGAGCTTCACCTATATCCCCCTGCAAGCAACAAGCACAGGAGAAAAGGGCCCATGGTAGGCACTCACTCCTGATGAGAGGGTACCCCAGGAGGCATTTGGAGCTACTCGGGAGACCATAAAGTGCAGCTACCTCCCCAAGCTGATTTGAGGTAGATATTAAGAAACACAGGCAGCGGAAGTGGCTCTGGCTTAGAAGATGCCGAGCTGGCAGTTCTGGAGCACCGAAAATAGATAAGCCCTGAATCTAAACCCCCAAAGGGATGGGAGTGTTGACGGAACAACCTGCTAAGAGCCCTGCACTGGGCAGGCATGAGCCTTTACTGACTCCTCCTGCACTGCCCTCCCCTCCAGCGGAGCAGATGGCTCCTGTTACAGAATGGACATCGGACTCGCAGAGGTGAGGTGACTTGCTCAAGATTGTGTAGCGGGGGACACACCCTGAGGCTCCAAAGCTCAGGCTCCTCCCAGGACAGCCTTCCCCTGGGACTCCTCCTCACTGCCCTGGTCCAGCCAGCTCCCTGTATCCCTAAAGCACTGGGACCATCCTAGCACAGTGTCGCCTACTCTGGGTCCCTACGTCCCCTACGTCTGCTCTCCCTCCCTCTCCCCGTGGCTGTGGGGCTGCTGAGGGGAAGATGGCTCCTTCTTTCCACCTTTGCAATAAGCATCTGTGTGACTGGATCCCGCCCCCGCAAATCCATAGGTTGCAGCCATCACCCCCAAAGCCACCGTATTTGGCGATGGGACCTTTACAGAGGAAATTAAGGCTCAAAGAGGCCCTAAGAGTGGGACCATCCTCCGACAGGACTGGCACTCCTTCGAAAAACAGGAAGAGACACCAGATCGGTCCCTCTTCCTCCCTCCCCCACTAAGTGCACACAGAGAAAAGGCCCAGTAAGGACACATTGAGAAGGTGGCTCTCTACAGGCTGACGAAAGAGGCCTCGGGAGAAACCATCACTCCCACCTGGATCGTGGGCTTCCAGTTACCAGAACTATGAGAAAACACATTTCCACTGTTTAAGCCTCCTTCCCAGGGTGTGGTCTGCTTTTCGGGTAGCTTGAGCTAATTCAGGCTCCCTCTCCGCTTAGGAAAAGACCACCTGGCTTTTCAACCTGCCTATGGAAACCCACGGACTGCTTCTGGGCTAGCACTGGACCCCCGCTCCCCGACCCCCAGACAGGATGGAGAGTGGAGAATGGAGACGTGCGCAGGAAGGTGAACGTGCAGCCGTGTGACGGGGAGGGCTGCATGTGCCTGGGGTCTGCACTGCTTGGTCCCCCAAGGACAGAATCAAGGATCTGTGCAATAAGGAACAGAGATCAGAGATCTGGCTGGGGTCATCTGACCCCTCGAGCCTGGGGACAAGGCTGGATCCAGCCTGTTCCCTTTGGATGCTGAGAAAAGGGCCCAGTTTCTGTCTCCCTCTGGCAAGCTCCCCCTACCCGGGCCTCCTCATCTCTTACAAACCCTCCCCTTTCAGGATAGCACAGCTTCTGCCCCTCCATCTGTCCCCCAAAACTCAACCACACTGGGGGAAGGCCCAGACTCCTCCCAGACCCTGACTGCCCCCTTCCTGTGACCATCAGGCAGAGAGCAACAGAGAAGAACCTCATCCAAAAAGCACCCACAAAAATGAGAATCGCTCAAGGCAAACGGCGCGAGACAGACTCTAGGCGATGGAGCCCACGAAGCTGTGCCTGGCCTCCCTTCCACTAGGCAGCTCCACCCTGATTCCCATCCCTGTGGTCCTGCCCCAGCCTGGAGGGTCCTTCCAGACCCAGCCTTGGTAAGGGTACGGTCCGTGGGGCCTTGGCCCAGGAGCAGGGCTGCAGAGAGCCATCAAGTCGGCACAAGGCCAAAAAGTGGTGTCCAGGCACACACGGTAAGGTCTGATAGGCAGGGTCCAGGTGGACACGGAGGGACAGTGGGCGGCCAGCCTCCCTCATAGCCCTCCCTCCAGCTGCCCTCCAGAGCCAGGGCCTGTCCTCAGCCAAGCGCCAACCAGAAGGGCCCTTGATCCTTTTGTCTGAGGCTCCATCTGAGCAGCTGGGAAAGATGAGGTCTCTCGAGAATTGTCCAGAGTTCCAGAAAAACAGCAAAGGCTGCTCCCTGTATCACTGTGGCCGGAGTCCAGAGTCACTCGGGCTCCAAAGAGACCACACCAGGAGTCCTGGAGACACAGCTGGGAAGAGCCACCTGGGGGGGGTGGGGGAATGCAGCAAGTTAGGTAGAGGGCACATCCTCCGTCCCCCAGCACTCCACACCCCCCAACCTAACCCCTCATCTGAGGGGGGACACCTTCAGAGACCCTCAGTCTCCCTAGAAAGGGTAGAGAGGGTGGGGGTCAGGGCTTTAGACACTAATGACTTCTAGAAGAAACTCGGGAATAGAGTTTCTCCACCCTGGCAGGGCTAGCTCAGGGAACAGAAAACCAATCAGGGGAGCCGGAAGCAAAGCCAAGGGCATCATGGGCAGAAAAGGGACAGGGTCCAAGTGGGCAAAAAGAGCCTTCAGAGTCCCCAGGGGGTTGGATTCCCTTTACAACATTCCCATGGAGGGGATTTCTGCACCACCCACCCCCAGTGCACACACACACACACACATACCTCCCAGGATGGGGAGCTCACTCCTTCGCAGAGACCGTGATAAAGCACATTCTGGTGTGAAGATCTGAGAGGGTGGAACCGTGTCTCTGGAGTGAACCTCTGGATCCCCGGAATCTCGCTGGGAGAAGGTGCTTGGTCCGTGTTTGTGCTGAATGAAGGAATGTACTGAAATGTCTGTCATAACCCACCCACGGTGGTCTTGATTCTATCCCGCACATCCCCACAAGACCATGCGGAGCAAGCCTTCCAGCCACCTGGCTCTTCCCCTCCACCCCTCTCACCTTGGGCCTTTCCGGCAATGGAAAGATCATCCCTCGTAAAACTAAGCTCAATGCAATTTCCTTCCCCCATGCTTACCCAGGTTTACCTGGAAGCACCCAGCCAGCACGTGAGCAGCCCAGGCGCAGCTCCCAGCTCCTTTGCCGTGTAGATCCCATCCTGGAAGACAAAAGAGCCAACCACACCGCAGGAGAAAACTGCACCCAGGCCCCATCCCCCAGCCCAGGCCTGGCCAGAAGTCTCTGCTAGCAAGAAGAAGGGCACCCTGGGCCAGAGAGGCTGGGCCCAGACACACTCCCCTTTACCTCCCTCCCTCCCACCCCAGAATGTCCTCGGGATAAGCGGGGGCTCCCTCACCCAACCCCCTGTTCCCCAAAAACTGCAGAAGGGGCTTCAGGACAAAGTAAGACAAATTCAGCTGAGCAGAAGCAGTGAATGGAGTCAGGAATCCAGAGTCCTGATCCAGCTTTGCCATTCTGTGTAGCCCCGGGAAGTCTGTCCCTCTCTCTCTCTCTCTCTCTGCACCCTGGGATCCTTCCAGCCCTACGTTCACCCAGAGTGCACAGTACTAACCCACAGTGTGAGGCAGTGGAGAGGAAAGAGGGGGGCCCTACAGATCAGCCTCGGATACTTTTTTGCCCCCATCAAATGCCTCCTAGTCCTGACCCAGAATCATATCTCAGTTTTGCTTCTGGTAACAGCTAAGCTCTCTTCATCGGCTGGCAGAGCTGGGCCAGGAGAGTCAGGGGCGCCTCTTAGCGTGTGTCCGGAGCTTGCTTCGGGCACCTGGGACTCAGGGCACGGGTCCAGATCTGGAGGAAAGAATATGGCCCTAGAGTCACCGTGCCCACGTCTCGACTCCACTGCTGGGTAAAGGAGCCCTGGGCCAAGCTTTACAAATATGATGATGACAAAGGGCCAGCACTGAGAAGAGCCACCAGGAGTCCCCAACCCCCATCTGACTCACTTCTTCTGACCCCAGATCTACAGGTTCTCAATATGAGGTCATTAAACTCCATTCTACAGAAGTTCCTGATGGTGGAGTTGACAAAATTCTAGCCTCCGTGCCAAAAGAGGGGTGTGACGGTCACCCTCTCTGGGGCCCCGTAAAATGGGGACAAGGTCTCTGTTTGCAACCTAGAGGGCTAGAAAATCTGATCACCCATCTCCCCTCCCACATGGGGATTCTGAGGTTCTGTACTTTCCTGCACAGACTGAGAGAGGGCAGGCGGGTAGGCCGTGGGCGGATAAACTGGAATACTTATCTGCAAGGCTGCTTCCTGGGTGTGGCCAGGAACGTTCGGGAAGAACTCGGAAATCCCTTCTCTCTCCTCTGTCCCAGGACCTCGCTGCACTCTGTTAATAGACCCTAGGCTGTTCGCAGTGGCCCTTCCCCTGGTTCCGCAGACCCCGATATCCATAAGGCAATGAAGGTTTCGAGGGAAACGTCAACCCCTGATTCAAGCAGGTAGCTGTCTAGGAGGGTAGAAAGGGAGGCATGTGTGTTAAGCGCAAACAGGCGAGACTGGCTCCCCAGCCCCACGTACCCGATGTGCGACTCGATGTTCATTACGCTCCAAGGTGTAGCCACTGACTTGGCACACGGTGAGAGCTCCCAAAATTGTTTTCACCTGTCGAGGAAATCTCCATGTAACACCATGTCCCAGAAACAGGATATGCCTCCTGGAATGCGGGTGCCTTTAACCCCAGTAACACAGATCAAGTCAAAATCCTGTCCTCGTGGGTGGATGAACATTCGTACATTCGTATAACGAAAGCTACGCCTCAGTAAAGAGGAATAAATGATTGTTACGTGCTACGACTTGGACGAACCTCGAAGACAGAATACAGAGAGAAAAGAAGCCAGGCACAAGAGGCTGCATGCTGTTTGACTCCATGTACGCACGTGATATGTCCAGAAAAGGCAAACCTACAGAGACAGAAAGAAGATTAGGGGTCATCTGAAATCAAGAGCCGGGTAGTGGAGATTAGCCATAAGTGGGTCCGGGGGAACCTTACCAGGGCAGTAGAAATATCCTAAAATGGATTTATGGCAGTGGGTGCACAACTTGGTACATTTGCAAAAAATCATCGAACTGTGCACGTGAGACGAAGTTATCTATTTACACCAAGCTTCCGTAAAGTAAGACCCAAGAAAGGATTGAACTACTGATCCGTGCCATAACAAGGAGGAACCTCAAAACATTATCCTCAGCAAAAGAAGCCAAATGCAAAAGATTCCATGTTAATGGAACTTTAGAAAACACAAGTCGAGTTTCTAGGCTTAGAAAGCCAATCAGTGGTTCCCTGGGGCTGGGGCCGGGGCGGGGGGGGAGGGGACTGACAGCGAAGGGACACAGGGGAACATTTGGGGTGCTGAAGGTGTTCTAGATGTGGATTGTGACAATGGTTATGCAGGTGTCCCCATCTGGCAAACACAGATTAACATGTATACTTAGAATGAGCGCATGTTATTGTATCTAAATCGCTAATGTTATTTTTCAAAACTCCTTTGATGTAATGACAAAGGATAAGAATGGAGAAGAGCCAAATCAAAGGTCAGACAGAGACCTCCATGGGGCCCCAGGGCCTTGGCGTCTCAGCTCCCACTACCCCCCCACTCCTCCACTGCAAGCCAAGGTCAGGGGCCCCAGCAAGGAAGCCTTGCTTGAAGGGTTGGGCCCCAGAAGATTCTAGAGGTCCCTCCTACCTCTAAGATTCAGGGGGTTTCCACCCAAATGGATTTCATAGCATGAAGCTAGAGTCTGTTACCCCAGGGGTGCACAGAAGGGTCATCCTGGCTGTTCTTCGACGCTGTTATGGTCGTAGTGGTCACGTCGACGTGTCTGCAACCCCGTGGGTGGGCAGGGTGATGGGTCCAGCTGTCACGGAAGCGAAATAAAGAAGAGCAGGGGACTAAATATGTACCCACATGTACACTGGAGAGCATCAGAAGCGAAACAGGAGCGGCGCCTGGGAGGCTCAGTGGGGGAAGCATCAAACTCTTGCTTTAGGCTCAGGTCATGATCTCGGGGTCCTGGGACCGAGCCCTGAGTCAGGCTCCGTGCTCAGCGGGGAGTCTGCTTCTCTCCTTCTTCCTCTCCCTCTGCCCCTCCTCGCCCTCGCTCTCTCTTTCTCTCTCTTAATTAAGTAAAAAAAAAAAAAAAAAGTATAAAAAAAAGAAAAAGAAAACAGGAAATTCGGAGATATCTGGGAGGAGCCATGGCCAGCCTAAGCATCTTATCGCACTGGAGAGGGCACGGGCTTGAAGGCACAGGTTCCATCCTGCTGTGCCACACCGAGCAAGTGCACTCCAGCTCTGGGCCTGACTTCTTTCCCGTGAAATGGGACAATTATGGCACCCACATTGCGGAGCTGCCGTGAGGATCCCATGGGATGATAAATACTATTATTTTCTTACACTGTTAGTACTACCACTGCACGTGCGGTTCTTTACACCATCATGGAATATTCCTGTTCCCCCCAAACTCTGTGCCTTTCCTGGTAAGGGAGGAACAGCTGCCAGAGAAATATGCATTTGGTTGCATTTTAGGGTCCCTCTGGGTTCTTGGGTTTTTGCATTTTTTTTTCCCCTGACTCTGGAATAAAAGTGCTGCTCAGAGAGCTGGCATACGGGAGATGTTGGCCTAAATTGCCTCGGATGAGTGAGTGCCGAGAAGTAACGGGCACCTCCTGGGAATAAGGAGTGGCACAGGAACAGCGCGCAGGAAAGAGACCCATCTGCAGAGCAGCGGAAAGCCCCATTTCTGGACAAACTCAAACGCGGCATACACAAAAGAGGTGCTTGGAAATTCAAGTCGACCTCACACAAGGGAGCCCCTGAGCTGCGGGAGAGAGGGGAGAGAGCTAAAGGAAGACAATGAAGGGAAACCAACATATATTGAGGACAGAGGCTAACTGGGGGCACGTTAGCCTACCTGACAGAAGAATAAACTGGGTTTTCTTGTCCCTGGCTTACAGATGAAGAAACACATCCGAAGTGTCTCACTCCGACATCACCCAGCCAGAGTGTGAGGCAACTGGATTCTAAACAGGCTTGCGGAACCCCAAAGGGGTAGAAGACTTGTGCTCAAATATGGGGTGGGGGTGAGATGGGAGAAGACCTCCGGGGAGGTATGTGCACGCCTCAAGCACTGTGATCGGCAGCATTAATACTACTCTGGGGGAAATGGTCCACAATTGCTAAACCACGCCAGGTCCCTTGATTAGCTGCTTCCATGGTCTCAAGGCAACTGATTAAGCTGGCATTTAGGAGAAGAGATGGTGGACCATAGTAGTTACAAACATGCGTTTCAGAGTCAGGACTTGACCTCCAGTGTCAAGTCCTGACTCTCCTTCCAATGGGCTGTGTGATCCTGAGCTAATCACACCACCTCTCTGAGCCTCGTTTCTCAGCTGGAATACCCAGAAAGGTCTCCGTGAGGCAGCACCCAGCAAGAAGCCTGGTAAAAGGTCATGAAATTGTAGAGATGTTGGTTCCCATTCATTATCTGCTCTGTCCCCTTGAGGACACAGTGGTTCAGTCTGTCCCTCCCTTCCATGACTCATCCAGCTTTCATAGGGGCCCACCTGGACCACTCGGAGGTTGGGGAATGACACCGCCTCATCTGATCCGATCAGCCTGGAGAGGGACGCAGACACAGATGTCACTCTCAGCTGGCCCTTGCCTCTGCCCCTGTGTATCCCTGGGTATTGTTCTACAGAGTTCCCTCTGACAGATGAGCCAGGCCTCAAGAGACTAGAAGAAGGATCCCCTCCAAACAAAGGGCTAGCCTATAAGTTATTCACCAGTCCATTGAGCTTACACAATGGACCCAGGGCCCCAGAAACACCCCCTGCCCCCCCACCCCACTCAAACAGCCCAAGGGTCACCCAAGAGAGGAACCAACAGCCCCAATACAAATTAAAGCAAATAACTGGGGATCAATACAAGACTCAGGAGCCACGCAAGTGAACTCAGCCAGTATACAGTGGGCATACTAAGCAATAATATCTCTATTAGGCACCTACTGGCTACAGGCACTCTGTATATACTGCTTCATAGCTTCGAGACAGCCTTTTAAGGCAGGCATTGAGATTAAGGCAGGGATTATGATTCCCATTCTACAAGATGAGGGGACTGAGGCTCAGAGGAGGGAAGTTAATTCCTTACTGAAGCGGACCTAAAAAGCAGGTGACACGGGTGGAAGCATGTTATCAGATCCAGAGAAGGAACCTTAAAAATGAAGATTAAAAAAAAGAAAGAAAGAAAACAACTGGCAGGTCCAACAAAAGCGATTGAGTAGAATACATTGGTTTTTTCCAACCTTTTACAATCATCATCCATTTTATTAAATGTATGAAATTTGTTTCTAAAATCACCCAAAATGACAAAATTCTCATTTTTAACCTAGGCATACAGAGTGGGTCTCCTAAAGCTCCAGTAAAGCATTATGGTTCCTTTTGGGGGCTCTGAGGACCAGCTCTCTTCTCCAGGAGGAGTGGAGAGATGGACCTCAAAAAATGCAGCAAGAAGGATGCCGGGTAGATTTCAGAACCTTTCTCAATAACAAGGGTCATCAAAAAAATCAAGTGCCTGGTGTTGGGGGGGCGGGTATAGGAGATGTTACCTGGAAAATTCTCTCAACGTGAAATTAATGAGTCAGTGCGGGATGAGTTCAATGCCTCCCAAAGCGAGGCACTGGCAAAGTGTCCCAGAGGAAACCATTCTGCTCGGACTGCGACACGGTAAGGCGCCGCGGTGGGGGGAGAGGTTGGGTACTGTTCACTCCACAAAGGGTCTCACCACCTGCTTGATGAGGGGGAGGAGGGGCCTGAGTAAACGTCCAGATGCCCAGCCCCACCCCAGTCCTGCTGACTCATCCCCCGGCCACGTGGCACGGACATCTGCATATTTGAAACAACGCCCCTAAAGTCTGAGAACCGGTGTCCTCAGGTTTCCCTGTCTGTCAAGTGGAATTACTCATCCCCGCCTTCCCCCTCCCGACCAACCCCCACCAAACCCAGGCATCGCTGAGCTCCCAGGTGCTCCCAGAGGGGAATGCGCTTTGGAAAGTGAAGCACTGTGCCCAGAACCAGCGTTCTGCTCGGGGTTGGCGCTCAGTCTGGGGTTGGCATCGAGAAAAACAAAGCCTCTTGCCGCATGTTTTGTCGCCTTTCTCTCCCCACCCGTCTCCCCGCACTACTGCCTCCCTCCCTACCCCCTTTCCCCAGCAGCAGGTGGGGGCGTTTTCCCCGCGGCCGCACTGCAGTGGGGTGTGCGCGCCAGCAATCCCCGCGCGCGCGGCAGCCGCTGGTCTTGGGTCTGGGATGAGGGTAGGAAATCCAGGCCCCCCAGGTCTCCCCCTGCAGAGTCCAAGAAGCAATTTCTCTAACCCAGGACCCTCCGCTGAGGGAGACAGGAGATCTGGCATCTCCCTCTTCAATTTCCAGTCTCTCTCGAGAGTGTCCTCCTCCTAGAGGAGGGAGAAGGAGGTGGCAAGGGAGCTGGTGGGTTCCGAGGGCTCCCCAGACGTGTTTGAGGGTATAAACTGGGCTTTAGACTCCTACCTAGCTGGATACAAAATCATGGGCTGTGTGACCTTGGACGTGTACCTAATCCTCTCTGGATCTCAATGTCCTCATCTTTAAAATGGGGTTCTTACCTCCTCCTGGGACTGTTGTGGTAATGCGTGCAAAGCACTGGACGTGTTGCTGGCATAAAGTAAGCACTCTATAAACTGATGTATTATTCTTATCATTATCATTGCCATTATTCTTTTCAAGGAAGGTGGTTTTCCTGTCTTCCCCATCCCCTTGGACCCACCCAGCACGCCGCACAACTAGCATCTGAGTCCCACTGATGGGGCCTGGGCAGGCACTGGGCGGTGGGCTCCGTGTGAGGGAAGAGGGGCTCAAGCACCCCGCTCCCACCCCCAGTTCCGAGGCCATGCGGGCTCTGTCCCAGGCTTGGCCACTGAGCTGCCAACCCGATGGGCCGAGAAGGTCCGGGGTCCCCTCCTGTCTGGTTGGCAGGGTGGGGTGGGGAGGGTCTTTGTTCGCCCTCGGATCATGACTGAAGACCCCCACTCGCACTGGACTCCCAGAGCAGTCTCCCCTCCCGCCCCCAAGCCCCACCCAGGCCCGGGTCTTGGCCGCCCCGGACAAGCACTGGCGGCAGAAGCTCTCCATCCAGCAATTGGGGGGCACTCCGGTCAGTTTTTTCCATCCCCTGAACACTGCCTGGGACCCCGGGACCCACCCTGGACCCCGACATCGGGGAACGAGGCTGTTCGCGGCGCGGGGACTAGGACGCTTAGGGAGGAAAGGCTGTGAGCACCGGGCGGCGGCTTACCTCGGGTCCGCGGTCCTGCGGCGCGAGTGCAGAGGGCTCTTTGTGCCCCGGCTCACGGCGCAGAACTGGGGGAGCCCCTGCAAGCGCCTCCCATCGCAAACTCCTCCCCGCACTCGTCCGCAGCCTCCCTCCCTCCGGTCCCCCGAGCGCAGCCGGCGTCGTCTTTGTAAGCTGCTGCAGCGCCTATGAAATTTTAATGCGGGAGCAACTGGCGGGCGGAGGAGCCCCACCCCCGGCCCGAGCCTCGGCCCCCCTCGCGCCGCCCCCAGCCCCTGCAACCCCGCGGACTCCCCTCTCCCGCTCCCCACCCCCCCGCCGGGGTCCTGGCCCGCGAGCCGGGGGAGCGCGCCTCCGCCCCCGCGGCACAAAGGGGCGAGCGGGGCCTCCAGCATCCCCGCCCGCGGCGCTGCCATGGCAACGCTTGCCTGGCCGAACTCGGCCCAGGGCGCGCTGATGGAGAGGTGCGCGCGACCGCGGGCCCGGGAGCCCAAGCCCAGAGCCCCGGGTAATGGGAGGACCCAGGACACTG